AAGGAAACATATTTTTGAAAAAGAGAGGGAAGAGATAAAGGGGATAAGAAAGACTAATGGGTGAATTTGACCAAAGTCAAGACATGCATGTATGGAAATACCACAATGAAATGCCTTTGTACAATCAACACATGCTAATTATTTTAAAAAGCATCATTTTAGAACATAAAGATCAGAGTTGTCTATTCATCATTAAAGAGATTATGTAGTTGGCTTGAATTATTCCATTTCGGGATAAATTTCTTTCTTTTAACTATTTTGGCAGTACAGGGTGTTGAATTTGGGCCTTTCACTTGCTAGACAGGCACTCTACCACTTGGGCCATGCCTCAAGCTCATTTTGGTTTTATTTTTTGAATAAGGTCTCCCAGCAGGCATGGACTATGATCCTCCTCTTTACATATGCCACATAGCTGGGATGATAGATTGAACTACCATGCCCAGCTTTTTTGTTGGCTGAGATGAGACCTTGTGGGTTTTTTTGTCCAGGCTTGTGTGGAACCCAGGTAGGGAAGCATTTCTTTCAAAGAGAAACTATGAGGTTATTTTTCACAAGTGGATTTTACAGTTCCCACAACAATCAGTCATTGGGGATGAGATGTTCTGCACTTATCACAGTGAATTATAAAGCTTTTGAAAAATCCAATGCCCTATTTAGATAATGAAAGAAATGTACTTTTTAGAAAATTTCCTTTTGTAGAAAAAGTATTTACATGTATCAGTGTTAAATCCCAGTTCATAGCTGGGGCCTTTTACACATATTATTAAGCAATATATTAAGATGTTTAATATGTTTTAGCATTTGTTATTATACTTTGTGTAGCTGCTGAAGAAATCATTACTAAATATTCTGACTTTTTGTTAAATCTTTTAACAAAGATTTTAAAAAGATCTTTTTTGGACCTTGCCAATTATGTTACAAAGTGGATTATCTCTGTAATGTGAGGATACTGTGGCTTTTAAATTTTTTTGGATTTCATACAAACCCTGTAATATCTAACAGTCTTGTTATAAGTTAAGACTATTACAACATTTTACATGTTATTGATGTTGTAATGGTTTTAAATAGATGGACAGTACAAACAAAATGCAAATGATATTCCTAATCCTAGAAACCAAAACCTGGAGTGAACACGAATACAAGGTGCTGGACACTTTTAGAATCTAGATGACTGCTACTTCTATATCCAGGATTCTAATGATTGTCCTCCTGTATCATTCTAGGTCCCACTAAGCAACACTTCCTTGCAGAGTTGTGTTGAGGTACTTACATAAGAGTCCATCATCTCAGTAAGTTTGTTTTGGCCCTAAGAAATGAAGAAAGCCTGTAGACCAAACAGCTCTTTGAAAGACGATTGGGACCAAACCAAACCAAAAAAAAAAAGAAAGAAGATTGGGAAATAATCTTATGACTATGCTAAAGAACCAGCAATATGGTCATTATAAACTAACTTGGTAAATTAAGTGATATGCTTTCATTTCACTGAAGAGTAATGTTAAGAAAGCTTGTTGGGGGTAGCAATCTGACTTGTTGGTAGCCCCTATTTTCTTTCTATCAACCATCACTTTTGAAAAATGAAATTTGGGAGTTGTGAAAGTCAAATAACATGAATAGAAGAGTTTCTGTACTGCCCACCATATGTTGTCAAGACTGTCTTTAGTTTTCGTTAATGAGAAAGCATGTGGTTGCCACTTCCTTTCTGAGAATTGCCAAGTGAGGAAGGAAGTAGATATTCAGCTGGTTCTGTCCTGGGGGAGGGAGAACTGAGAGGAGATGGGTTATTGCTTTCAGCACTGCCTTCTGCTTTTGCAGTAGTTGGTTTCCTAAGTGTCAAATTCCTCTTTAGAAAATGTCAGTGTAATTAGTGTGAGTCGCCATATTTAATCCAATTAAATATGGGGGCAAATAGCTGAGAATTTAGGGAGTAGCTTACTATCTTTGCCTAAACTCTGGCCATGACTCTGCTCAACATTCTCAGTGTGGTTTCTCATCTATTAACCTTTTAAAAAGCTCATCAAACTTAAAAGGAAAAAAGGCTTGTTTTCAATATTGCTTCTATGAGTTTTTGTCTGCATTAAAAAATATATAGTTTTGAGGACTGTGACTGTAAGTTAATCCTGATGAACAGGAGGTTCTTGTCAGGTGTCTTTGAAAACCATGATTTTGGCCATTGGTTCTGCCATTAACAGAAATGTTTTCATTTGATTCTGTAATTATGCTTATAATATTACTCTATGCCACTTTCCAGTGCTGTATCAGTATCTTTGGCACTCTGGGTCTTACTGGTTTATGAAATTAAAGCTTTCACTTCCTTAAGAATGTCTTGACTTTCTTGCTAACATGGCGTTTATTTTGAAAAAACTGTTTTTTAGGGCAATATATGTTACTTGTCTGTAGATATTTAGGAATTTGTGGCTCATGAAAAATATTCAGAAAAATACATGCATGCTTCTGATATCCAAATTCTCTGACACTCTCCCCAACATTTCTGCTACCAGTTAACTAGGTGATTCTTTAAAATCTTACAATATGTTCTGGTGCTGCCACCTTATTTCTTCAGTCTATTTTGAACTTCCATCTAAACAGTAGATCCAGGAAGGAAAAGCTTTGAAGTCACAATTACATAGGTTGTAAACCCACTTTGGCCATTCCTTAGTGATGAAGTAACTCTGGTGAGTTATTCACAGTGTTACTTACTGATTTTACTTACAGGTAAAATCAGTACTCATCAACATAAAGTCGATGAGAGGATTAAACAATGTTAGCTCATTATTCTTTTCTTTAGTAGAAAATAGATGAGAGGAAAATAAAGAGCATCTATGTACTGTCTACTAGGTACTAGTTGGACAATTTATTCTATTTCACTTGCTATAAAGCAGGATCCTACTTTTTTTCTGATAACGTATTTGCTAGATTATTTTTCAGGTAAAGTGTTTATGGATGTGAATTCCAAAAAATGGAAACAAAAGGCTTTATTATTATTTTTTATTGTCAAGGTGATGTATAGAGGGGTTACAGTTACACAAGGTAATAAAACAAGGTTTTATGTTGTTTTGCTTCTTGTTTTTTTCCCCTCTGTTGCTGTTTTTGATTTCTGTACCTTTTGTCTTGTATGTAAATTTATTTTTTGGGGGGGAGGGTAAAGGAGAGCATAGAAATAGTGGGACAAAGGGTGGACAAATGCAGCAGTGATAACTCACTAGACTCTATGTTGAAAATGAACTATATAATTTGTGGGGGAGAGAAAAACTGGAAGAAAATGAGGAAGAGGGGACACTGTTCAAAAAGAAATTCACTAATTACTTGACCTAGATAACTGTAACCCTTCTGTACATCACCTTTACAGTAACAATGAAATTAAAAATAAAAGTTTTATCCTACCATCCTAATTTGTATACCCCATGTATACTCCCTCCTCTCCCTTGACCTCTTCTCCAAAGAACTGAGCACTTATACAATTAGCTTTTCCAACAAACACTGTCTCCCCACTAGGGAGAGATCAAACTTGGATTCTCCCACCTTTGCTTCAACTAGAATGTGAATACCATAATTTTTTATCTGATTTTTTTTGCTGCACAGTCTAGGAAAGATGCAGCTTGCAAAGTAGATACTTGAAAAATATTATTTGAATGGCTAGATGATGAAAATATTTTTTTTTTTTTGTCGGTCATGGGGCTTGAACTCTGGGCCTGGGCGCTGTCCCTCAGCTCTATAGCTCAAGGCTAGCTGGGCCACAGCGCCACTTCTGGTTATCTGGTGATTTATTGGAGATAAGAGTCTCAAGGCCTTTCCTGCCCGGGCTGGCTTTGAACCGTGATCCTCAGATCTCAGTCTCCTGAGTAGGTAGGATTATAGGCGATAGCCACCGGGGCTGGCCTAAAATCAATCTTATTTAGAGAGTTAAATATTCAGAGATAAGACATGCAGTGAACAATGACTTGAAAGTCCTTTTCAAAAGGTCTGGACCTGGACTTCCAAAAACAAATTGGTTCCTCAATTGTGAGAAAAGCATTTCCAATGAAATCACTGTGAAACTTTGAAAAAAAAAAAAAAGTCGCACAACTAGTAAGTAGCTCAACTAGTTTTTCTGTATCCTAAAACTATTTTAAAATTTTTATTGTAAAGATGCTGTACAGAGGGGTTACAGTTACATGAATAAGGCAATGAGTATGTTTCTTGTTGACCTTCCCTCTCCCACTCCCCTCTCTTCTTCTCCCATCTCCCCCTCAAAAGAAAAAACCACTTTCTGTCCTTCAGGTTATATTTCGGGGTTCCTCGTTGTATGATCGATTCCCTCGGTGGCACAAGTGTAAATCAGAAGGGTTGAGTGAAAAAGTGGAAGACCAGACCAGATGGTTAGGGTCGAAGTTCCTGCCGTTCTACAAGCTGGTGAACGGTCTCCAGCGAACTGCCCCATCTTCCTGGACCCCAGTTTATCGGGCCTAGTAAGGGGGGAAGCACAACGCCAGCCTGCACCCACCGACCCATCCCAACCTGTTCCTCATCGACTGCCCGCTTTCTGTACCCACTGCATAATAAACCCAAGCGTTCCCGGGACTGCAGGGCAACGGCGGAAGACTGAAGTTCTAATCAAGAAAAAGAAGGAAGAACTCCCGGACATCCTACTACGAGTAATAGAAGCCCAGGGAAGAAGGCCAAGGCAGGAGGAAGCCACCGCGAGGAGGGGGCGGGGCCGAGAGCGGATTGGCAGGCCACAGGGGCGGGGCCCGCGCTTCTAACCCCGGGGGAGGAGCTGGGGAAGGCTGAGCTAACGTCCTTGATCTGTTCCCACCCCTGGGTTTCTCAGGGCCAGGCGGAAAGGCGGGCGTGGCCGCGGGCGTGCCGACGCGTCGTGACGCCACAGGAGGCGGAGCCTCCGGGGAGTCTAGCCGGCCGGCGGGCGTGGCCGCAGGCGTGCCTACGCGTCGTGACGCGCAGGAGGCGGGGCCTCCCGGGAGTTGAGCCGGCGCGCGGGCGGGCGCGTTGGGCAGTCGCTGCTGGGGACGCGGCGTGCGTGGAGACCGTGTTCGGTGCTCAGGTTTTGCCGTCACAACCCGTCCCTCTGCGGAGCCCGGGTCCGCCGGGACGCGCGCCCGTGCGTGTGTGAGCGGGGCGTAGGGCAGAGGTGTCCCTTGGCCGTCTTTTTCACTCTTGTTTATTTTGAGCCCTCTCCCCGCCGGGGCGGTTCTCGCGGCGTCTCCGGCCGGCTGCCGGTCGGAGCGGGCCGGCGTCCGGCCTGGTCCGGGTTGTTTTTCCTTTCGAACTTGCGCTCCCCCCCCCGCCCCCCCATCTTTTTTCTTGTTTGACGCATTTTCCTTTTTTCTGCTTTTTGGCCCAGTGCCTCCCTGGCTGTGGTCCTGACACAACCGCCTTCTGCCCCCTCTGTCGCCGCCCCCCCCTCCAGGGTCGCCCTCCTCCCCGCCCCGGGCCCGGGAGGGTGGGGAGCTGCCCCCGCCCGCCCGCCCGCGTCTCCGCAGCCGAGCCCGCACTGCCTCACTATGAACGGGGTCAACGACCCGCCTCTATTTATAAAAGATATTAAGGCCGGACTGAAAAACTTAAATGTCGTCTTTATTGTCCTGGAGATAGGTAAGTGGGGTCAGCAAGACCACCCCACCGGCCCCGTGCGCTCCCCGGGGCCGGACCTGCCCGCCGCCGTCGGGAGCCGGGCCCCCACCCCCACCCCACCGCCCACGTGAGCTCCGATCCGGGACTCGCGGGGAGAAGCCCGGCTCCACCTCGTCCGCCTGGCAGACGTCCTACCCCCGGGAGAGCCCAGAGGGAAGGGGGGACGGAGGGCACCTGCTCGGTTATCTCACACACCCCCTGCCCTCCCTTCTGCTTTTTCAATCTTCACAGGACGCGTGACCAAGACCAAAGATGGCCATGAAGTGAGATCGTGCAAAGTAGCTGATAAAACGGGCAGCATCACCATCTCCGTGTGGGATGAGGTCGGCAGCCTCATACAGACAGGCGATATTATACGGTTGACCCGAGGGTAGGTATGCTCACAGCGGGAGGGCGGGTAAGAGGGAAGGGTACGAGTTGCCTGATTCCCCCCCCCCCCCCCTCCCGGGGGATCCCGACTGCTTCTGAAGTTGGGTGACTTCAGTGAGGCCAACTCTCCAGAAGTTGTCCCTCCCCCCCCCCCTTTGGTGTCAACTTTGTGGTGATCCAACACCTCCTTGTACCTACTGACAATGGGGTTTCAGACAGGAAACACCCCGCCCACGAGTTTACATTTACAAAACTATTCTGGGGAGTCGTTTAGTTGTTTTAGTAGATTGGTGTGCTCCACACTTAAATTAGTTGTTTAATTCTTATAATGGCTTGAAATTCCTGTTTTTTTTTTTGGGGGGGGGGTGTTGTTTTTTGTATTTAGATGTACTAAAAATAGTTGAGGAAATTTAGGTGTTTTTTTTTTGTTAATAATCAGATTTGTACTCAGAAAAAAGTTGATAGGATTTGGAAGACTCATCTTGAAAAAGATTGCTTCTGTTTTCTGTTTTAAGATCTTTGTATGAAACCAAAACACAATGCTGCAGAAAACGTTCAGCAGCAGGACCCCTGTGATACCTTCATTCAGAAAATGTAGTTGGCAGATCTGTGGCTTTGAAAAAAAATTAACTTTTTTAGTTAAGATTTTTTATTAGCCTACATTGGTTAAGGGGACTTTCATTTGGACATTTCCATACATTCCTATCTGTCTCTTACCTCTTCTTATCCCTTATCCCACTTTTTCTCCTTTTTTGAAAATTGACTATTGACTACCAAATCTTTTGGAAAGACCAGAAAATAATTTAGGAAATACAGTCAGGAAGCTTTTGTGATCAATAGACTTGTAATAACATAAAATTGGTCATTAGTAAAGTAGGGGAGATTGATGTTCGTGTAATAAATAGAACCTAAGAGGTATTGGAGTGTTCTGAGTTTAGGAGCTCCTGTAAGGTAGAGTAAGATAGTGTCATACAGGCCTTGGGACAAACACCTTCAGGAAGTGAGGTAAAGTATCTAACCAGGAAGTGGGAGTCAGGACTTAGACATTGTATTCTCTTACAATGACTCATTGTGACCTTAATTACATCTTTTAAACCTCCACATCTTTAAGTGTATAAAAAGAAAATTCTTCCCTGGGAGGGTGTGGTAAGGATTAACATAATTGATAACATTTTTTTGCTTCTGAAGTATTTTTCTCCCAGGGATCAAAAACCATACTTTTTTTTTTCTTTTTATGTGGATCGTGGGGCTTAAATTCTGGACCTGGGCACTGTTCCTGAGATTTTTTTGCTCAAGGCTAGTAGTACTCTACCACTTGACCCACAGCTCCGCTTCTGGCTTTTTGGTGGTTAATGGAGCTGAGTCTTGTGGACCTTCCTGCTTTGAACTGGGTAACTCAGTCTCCTGGGTAACTAGGATTTACAGGTGTGAGCTACTTACCAAGGGCCCCCAGCTAAAAACTGTTAAACTGAAAACAGCATCTCATTTCAAATATTTTGTATTCTGTGGCCACAGTTGTGGATATTCCCATCAAAGCATTGATCAAAAATTAAACATTTAAGGAGCACAATTACCAAAGACTATGGTTCAAAAGGGAAATTCAAACCTAGAGAAGTTCTCTTTACTAATTTCAGTATGACCTTGGGAATTAGGAAGTTAATACACTTGGTTTCCCTTTTCCTTTCTGTAAAATTAAAATGGGAATAATTGTACATTACTTAGTAAAATAACACTGCTTGGAATGTAGTCAACTGTAAGGCCTTTAAATTCTGGTTAACTCTAAGAAAAACATCTCTGGATAAAAGGCCTACCTAACATTTACTTAATGGTTTGAATGCTAGCATGTGTACTGTAAAGCCATGGGAACTTGATCAGTGTTCTCATCCCTTAAACATGAGAAAGTTAAATGTTTCTGTTGTAAGTATTCAAGTTTCTTCCCTCAAAATACGCATTAAACTTTACATTTGTAAGTACAAAAGTAAAACATTACTTTTTGAAATATTAATGCACCTGAGTTAATCCTGGGTAACTTTTTGTATGATTTGAGAATGGTGAGTATAGTCTTTTAATAAATAACCCTTATTAAAATATTAGTTCAATATGCCTGCAGATTTCTATTAATCTGTATTTATAGATGAACTACCACTATGTTGAGTTTAAACAATATTTTATTGTAAGTTATTGAGTTGCCATAGTGGTTGTCCAAAGAACCATTGAAAACCAAACTTTGCGTTGATTTTTATTAAATTGGTTATATTTCCCTTAGTAAGGTTATTATGTTTAAGTGATGTTTATCTTCTCTCAAATTGCTGAGAATAAATACTTTTTTCAGCCAGGTTTGAACGAATTGGAAATTGGGAAAAGTGGCAAAAAGATTTGTGACTTCAGTTTGTTTTTCAAAGCATTTACTGAATTTTTCCAAATTTTCAGTAGTAAGTGTCTTAGAGATCTGGAGAAAAACTCTTAATCTTAGTGTCTGAATGACTGGATGTGTCAGTGAGTAAAAATTAAGAAAAATACTTCAATTTCTGCAATTAAACACTCTGTTATGAAGAGGTAAGTTTCAAGAAGACTTTGTTTGACTTTTTTTTTTTTTTTGGCAAGGTTTCATTATGTAGCTTAAGCTGGCCTTGGATTCACACTTATTTGGTCCAGGCTGACCTTGAACTTGAATCCTCTTATGACCACCTGAGTGCTAGGATTACAAGCATGTGCTACCATGCCTGGCTTACGAAGACTTGTGCTGTTTTCTAGGGTTCTAGTTTTTAGATACATTATAATTTGGCAGTAGAATTTTTTTTGTCTTACTTTTTTGTAAGTAGGAAGTAAAAGTTAGATTCTTTTTATTTGCATTAGTGGTAAATACATTCAGGGTTTGATTTCCACTTCTACCTCATTTAAAAAATATGTATTAAGTAGAATAATACATATTTCTGAGGACCTGTTTTTTTTCTCTAGATATGCATCTATGTGGAAAGGATGTCTGACGCTTTATACTGGAAGGGGTGGTGAACTTCAAAAAATTGGGGAGTAAGTATATAACTGAATAAGACATGATTTATGAATCATGTCTTAACTGGTAGGTGTATGGTATAATCTATACACTGAAAGCTTTCTTGGCTTTTTAGGGGGAAGGGGCTGGGTAAGCTGACTTTGACAGCCTCGTATTGTATTTATACGGGTACTAGTTTTAACAGCTGTCAGTACTGTAGTGTTGAGAATGTCAGAATGTCTGTTTGTCCTGGCAAAGAGCAATCAGACACAGCAATGGAGACCAGCCCCCGTGGGACTATTGTGTAGACTTTAGAAACCTTTCTTGCTCAAGCCTCATCTGAGATAGTTTTTCTCTTCCTGCAGTTAACCAAAACAAGCTGACTTTCGACTCACAGGTTTACATTTTCTTTTTCTCTGTGTATGTATGGATGAATTTGTACTCTTGTTAAAAGGACTTGCAGCAATGTAAACTGAAGTCCTATATTTATTCACGGTCTAGGTGTGGTGCAGGCAGCCGCAATGCGGGCTCCCATACACTGCCACCTTGGTAATGATCTCCACCCTGACCTGGAGGATCCGTCCTCTCTAGGGGTGTAAAGGTAATTTCAGCCTTCATGCTAGCCTAGAGGTATGGGGTTGTTTTCATAAGTATGGTGCAGGCAGTGAGCCAGATCATTACTTTATTCTAATTTATCCTTAATGTCCATGAAATTGGGAGATATTTTAAAAAGAGAAGGAACAAATGGTACCCAAGTAAAAACAAAACCACAATAAAAACAAAGCAAGGAAAACTTGCTGAGAAGGTGAGGTACTTTGTCTAAAGAATACAGCCAGTAATGAAAGACACAATCTAGATCAGCAACTCCATTGAACACTAACACCTTCACCAGAAGGAAAATTAGAATCCATTCATGTTTATATTTGTACTAGTGCTGTTAGACCCTTTTTCTAAAAGGTCTTAGGGTCAGTATTATGGCACCTAGCCATACTTAATGTAATGAGGGTTCAGTTAAGTGAAGAACTACAGGGGGTCTCTCATTATTTATTTGGTGGCTGCTCTTTGTCAGAGTCAGTTTAGGACTTCCCAAAAGTTTGTACTTTTTTTTTTTTTTGGTGCCAGTACTAGATCTTGAACTCAGAGCCAAGGTGCCCTCTCCTCCTCTTTTCCTGCTTAATGCTGGTGCTCTACCACTTGAGCCATAGCTCTACTTTTGGCTTTTTGGTGGTTAATTAGAGGTAAGAGTCTCATGGACTTTTCTGCCTGGGCTGGCTTCGGACCTCAGACATCTGATCTCAGCTTCCTGAGTAGCCAGGATTATAGGTGTGAGCCATTAGCATCTGGCTTGTATTTCCTTTTTAAGTGAATTGAGGAGCTAAGGAGATGCTTATGAGTAAACTTGATACTCATCATATTGTCCTTTTAAAAGAAGCTCCAGGATAATCTTGTGGCTAGCCTGTTATCTTTATCACCTAGAATCAGTTATTAATTTTGATGGTTGTCTTTGTAGATTGACCCTGTTTGGCCAAAAGAATGATTGAATGAATGTGTATAATGGATCAGGGCAAATCCATCACCACTCCTAAAGAAAAAACACTTATACCTTAATTAAACCATTTTATCAGTCTTCTGTGGACAAACCCGATACAGATACCTTTTGGTGTCTTTGGTCTTTGACAGTATTTTGCAGTATAAAAGAATAATTTAAAAATAGAACTATATGTTAGAGATAGTTAAATACTTGATGTTTATGTTATGTAATAATTGATGTAAGTTTTATTATAAATAGCATTATCTACCATGTTATCATTAAGGAATTTCATTGACACCTAAATCCTCCAATCCTATACGTCAGGAATGTTTCACAAAAAAAGTTTGATGACTTACAGAAGTCATTTATTTTCTTTCAGATTTTGTATGGTTTATTCAGAAGTACCAAATTTCAGTGAGCCTAACCCAGATTATCGAGGACAGCAGAACCAAGGGGTAATTAGCCTGTATATATACATATATATTTTTTATTAGAACAATGTGGCCAGTAATTTTATAACCAGACTAACTGTATAAGACCTAGAGTATATGAAGAGAATTATATTTTTTAACAAGTCCTTTAATTATTTTTTTATTATGTATGTTTTGACAGTCTGTAGCTTAGGACACCACAGATAAATGTTCTACTTAGCACTTTGCAAAGTAACAGTACAGGAAATACAGACTGTAACAGAAGCTCTGCAAGTTTGGGGATAATTCCTGAACATTTTAACATTGAGTGGTCTTGAACAGATTTTTTTTTTGGCCACTAGGGCTTAAACTCTTGGATTTGGATTGGGCACTGTCGCTGAGTTTTTTTGCTCAAGGCTAGCACTGTACAACTTGAACCACAGCACCACTTCTGGCTTTTTTTGTTTATGTAGTGCTAAGGAATCAAACTCGGGGCTTCATGCATGCTAGGCAAGAACTCTTAACACTGAGCCACATTCCCAGCTGGCCAGATTTTTTTTCAAATGGTTAAAAACAAATTTTTTTAAAAGCCATACAACTATAAAAGGATATGATCATTTTAAATGTCTTAAGTGTGTTATTTTAACTTCATTTGATTAACTCAATAAAAATTTTTTAGGTACATAATGAGCAGAAGAATAGTAATATGAATACAGGTACATTTGGACCAGTGGGTAAGTTTTTTGGTTTCCTATGTTTGTATTCAAGCATAGAAATAAACGAATTAGGAAAGAGGTCTAGGAAGGAAAAACACCTCTAGACAAAAAAAAAAAAAAATACCATTACAGAAGGCCTACCAATATACGGAATACCCCAATAATTTTCTAGAAGGTAGATACACTTGCAAGCCAGTTTATTGAATACATTGTTGTCTAAGCAATTGAGTCTATTATTGGGAATACATTGATGCACAATAAAACCAACTCTAAATCTTGGTGATATCTGTTTAAGAGGTTGGTTATTTTTCTGCTTTTATAAAATTTCTCTAATCTAGTGATTACTTATAATAGATGGAGTATTGCTGATTGCTTTAGTTCACTAAAAGACTAATTTTAGAACTACAATTCTAAATATCACAGTTTTTAACATACTGTTAGCTGCCTTTTTAAAAGATTAGCTTTTACCCCTCAGGCCTCTGGCAATTGTGCTTGGAGCCTTGTTAGATGTTTTTGAAACTTTCGTTAAATTAACTGGGGATAAGTCTTTTATGACTAGAGTTCATTAGGTTAGCTTATGTTTTATTTGACCTAATGGCATACTTGGCACAAAGTTTCCATTGGAAACTTCTGCCTGCTTAGAAAAAGTTAGGATTATGTTGTCTGCTTTGAAACATTAACCTTCTAAGTCAAATGACAATATATATAAATGCTTTTTTTTCTATTTTTTTCTTCTACACTTATATTTGTTATATGTCTGCTTTTTTTGTTTTTAATTGTATTTCTAATTTTATTGCCAGACTTGGCCTTTTTTCCCTTTTGTATTAATATATTGCGAAGTTTATGTATTTACAGTGATAATGCATGCAGCCCACTTGTTTTCAGTGTAAAAATAATGGAGTTTCTATTTGGGACTTTCATGTTTGGGATTTCTCTTATTTCTATAGCTTGCTGTAGACCACTTCAGAAAATGATAATTTCTTTTTATATTCTTTCTTAGGAAATGGTGTTCAAACTGGCCCCGAATCAAGGGGATACCAAATTTCTTATTCTGGTAGAAGCAATGGCCGGGGACCGACCTATCCACAGCTATCAGGAGCAGCTAATAATCACACAGTCATGACCACAATAAGTAATGGGAGGGATCCTCGGAGAGCCTTTAAAAGATGACCTATGCCAAAAAGTCACATGTAGTTTTTGAACTACGTGCCCTACTTGAACACTTATTGCACTTTTATTTATCATTAACTGTGAAAAATATGTCCTTTATTACTTTTACATTTTTGGTTTGTTAAGAAGAGTGGTTGGTTTTTATAGCAAAACTGTTAAAATACTCAAGTATCCTATTGAACAGTAAGAGCACTCTGAAAAGTAGGGGCATTTATTTTAGAGCAAGAATTATTGGATATCTTCTTTAAAAAAATCTGTACCCATGTTAAGGGTGAGTTACTTGAGATATCAAGCTTTATAGCCTCTGTGAGTCTATCTTCTGTATATGTTTTTGTAATATTTGACAAAGTTTAATGGGGTATATTCTAGGTGTCTTAAATTCAGGTATTTGCCAACTAAAGCAATAACCACCAAAAATCAGAAACTTGATCAATGCTAATAGCCATTTTTGAGTGTTTGTGACTCCAGGAATAACCGACTATATTGAGTGACTGCTATTAAGATTTTTCCTAGCCCTGAATCATTCAGAATTCTTGTTGTATTACCCCCAAACAAATTTCTTTATCAGAATTATGTAATAAAAGTAAGAAAGTACATTTACTTTCTGTAATGTAGTACTCTTTAACATTTGTTTTTAAAATTGCAGATTATGTTGCAGGAAAATTTAAAGCTAAGGCCTTAAATACTAAGTTGAAATTACCATGTTAAATATTAAAATGTAGTTTGGAGGAGTTGTAAAACCATAATATATATATTAATCTGATTATTAAAAAATAATTGTAGATAAATATAATGAAAGTGATTTACATTGAATCCATGTAGCAGTATGCAGTCTTAAGTTATCCTGGTACTTACCTGGTACTCAGCCTTCAGTGGAAATTCTAGGTAATTGCCTTGGAGTTGTGTGTGTGCCATAATTTTGGAACTTGATTGACACAGCATTATAAGCAAAAGTTACATGACTCTCAAAGTGGATTACAGCTTTATTCAGAAATGTTAATGTGGAATTTATTTATATGTTATAAATGGTACCCAGTTTTACTTTTTACAATAAGGGTGGATAGCTAGTAAATTTTTTCCTTTGTTGAAGTTCACATCTTCTTTTGAATAAAACTTGTGTTAATGTTAACAGTTCTACCTAATTTTTACTCTTTTTTTATGACAACAATGGAGAAACCTGTACATCTTCTTGAGATTGTAATAACATTAACTTGGAGACTTCTTACTTTTATATTTGTTGTTGTTGTTTTTTCACTTTTGTTTCTTTTTTTTTCCTACCTCAAATCAAACAATAAAGTCATAGCATTTTAAAATTTCATAGAATTTGAGTATAATTTGTGCCAGGTTTTTCTTTTCCCTCTAGTTCAGTTTATTTTACATGTGTTTTTAAACAATATGCATGTAATAGGCCACTGGAGATTGTTGAGTAGTAGACAAAATACTGAGTTGTCGCAGTTTGCATTTTTCTTTTTTTGGTCGGTCGTGGGGCTTGAACTCTGGGCTTGGGCGCTGTCCCTGTGCTCTTCAGCACAGGTGAGCGCTCCACCACTTGAGCCACAGTACCACTTCTGGTTTTCTGAGTGGTTTGTTGGAGATAAGAGTCTCATGGACTTCAGTGCCCAGGCTGGCTTTGAATGCTAATCCTGAGATCTCAGCCTCCTGAGTAGCTAGGATTACAGGCATGAGCCACCGGCACATGGCTTCAGTTTGCTTTTAGTCTCCAGTTCTGGGGTTTTGTTATGACAGGAAAACATTTGTTTATGATCGATGGATTGATTCATATTAAGTGTTACAGGTAACTTGGCTTTGTGACTGTTCAGATTTTTTTACATTTCATAATGCGTAAAAGAAGGATTGAGGTAGATTATATTTTATAAGACTACCAACAGGATGAACAAAAAAATGCTCCAAAGAAGTAGCTTTAACTTTTAAAATATAAGTAGGAGCAGGAGCAATACTTCTTTGAAGTTACTTTGGAGAGAATATAGTGTTAAAGGTGACTGAAGAAAGTTTTTTGGAGTTTGAGAAAACAAATACTGCCAGGTGTAGATTCCAGACTGAATTCTTGCCTCATTTTCTCATCTGGAATGCTGGAGAAGTTGTGAGGGTTGAAACCTTATTAAGCCTTGGACTGTGAAACTATAATAAGTAAGAGTACTTTTTTTTTTTTTAAGTTAGACTTCCATGTAAGTAATTAGAATGATATTTGGTAAGTAAGCAGTCATAGTTTATTAATACTGACTTAAACCGCAGTCAAATATGCAGAATTGGGTGTAGAAGTTCTGTGATCCTTTAACTTGTTCACAATAAGTAGAAAAAGATCTAAGTTTTGTACTTTTGTAATTGATACTATTTGAATCTTGCTCTGTGGTTTTATTATTAACAAGTTTCTTTCTTCTTAAGGTAAGCCACTACTACAAAGCAAAATGAATCACACTTCATAGTGAATGTTTGCCTTTCCTGTCTGCTTGGACAGAATCATCTGAAGACGAGGAAGAAAGTTTCTACCTTCCTCCTCCCTGGCGCTTTCTGCTGTCAACTTGGAAATAAGTTTAAACAACATCTAGTGAAACAAATGCCATTTGGTATAGATTTGGTAGAGAAGTGCCCTTCTACTACAATTGAGCCCCCCCATATTCTTTCTATGAAACCAGTGGGTCAAAGCCTGATCAAACAGGGTTGCCCCACTGGTTAAGGGTAGAAGTATTAGGTAGTTACCATGGAATCGAAACTGAAATAGGAAGTGTGTAAGGCCACTTAACAGTATTTAATAGAAGGCTGCAGTATGCTTTCTCATAAGCATTTGGACATCCAGATTTTCCTAAATGTACCAACTAATTTTGTATTTTCCTGTGGTTCATGGTAGTTTTGCTTTTAAATTTGAGACAGATTAATATCCTGGATATGTGTAGTTCTGAGTGTGTCACTTCAAGTTTTTATCATTGAACAGTTCAAATGAATGTTTAATTTTCAAGGTGGTTAAGGACAAGGGAATGATGCTGGAAAAGAAAGAAGTGAGTAGAAAATTAAGTTTATAATTTGTGAAGTGACTTTTTGTGTGTGCCCATCTTGGGGCTTGAATTTAGGGCCTAGGTATGTCCTTGAGCTTGCTCAAGGCTAGTACTCTACCACTTGAGCCACAGCTCCACTTCCAGCTTTTTGCTGGTTAATTGGAGATTAGAGTCTAATGGACTTTGCTGTCCTGACTGGCTTCGTTTGAAGTCAGTGTCAGATCTCAACCTCCTGAATAGCTAGGATTACAGGCATGAGCCAACAGCACCCAGAATGATGTGACAATTTTTGACATATAAGAAGATAGTTTTCTAAGGAAGTACATATTGTTTAGATCAGATTTAGTTAGGTCCCACTGGTAGTTGGAAGTTTGTAATTTATAAAGGGATCTAACAATTTAGCTTAGTTACAGAAATGACTTCACTCTTAAGTCATTAACATAATGGCTATTTTCTCCAAGGCATTTTAGGCTGTATATGATTCTAAGGTCCTCTCATTTATTTGGGAGCAGTTTAGACACAACAAATGGAATCCTGTGAAGCAGTATCTAATTGTATTCTTAGGCTTCCTTGCCCTATTACTTTAAAAAAAAAAAAGAGATCTAGTTTGCCTTCTTTTTATCTCCTGATGAAAATGAACATTTCTAGTAGGTAAAGATGATTAATCATTCTCTAGTATGGGCAGTTGAAAGGATAGGGACCGATACTTGGCTATGGTGAAGAACGTGTATGTTGAAGTTCCAGACAGTGGTTACAGTTGGAGTGATTAAGCAGTCCCACATTTCACAAAGCAGTTGTAATGATTAACCAGCTATGCTTCCTAGGAAATTGTGGCCTTTGAAAGCAGCACTGTCATTAATGATGTGATACACTAGATGTGAGAAGCTAGAAAACAATATTTTACTTTCTAGGTATATTTATCTGATGCCTCAAAGTTTGCTTTCTTTGGAATGTACAAAAGTGGATTCAAATGCTCTAAACAAATTTCTCCAGTTTCTTCACTAATGGGGTCTATTGATGTTTCCCAAAGCACATCACAGACTGAGGAACAGACTTAACAGAAAATCAAACTGACAAACCATTTAACAGTTTTTCCTTTTAACATGTAGACTCAAAGATTTTTTTTTTACCACTATGAATAATCAGCCCAAGAAATAATAAACGAGCACTTTAACTTGATAGAAGTTGAAACTTTCTATAGTCTTTGTAGATGATATACAATTTGACTCCCCAAACAACATTCCAGTCCAAGGCCATGACTCACTGTCAAACTATAGTTGAGCCAATGTATCTTAAGAACCATTGCATACCTCACTATCCAGTGATCTAGCTTAACATCACCTGAAGGACCATTGTCATGCTGGCAGTACATGAACTCTGGCTCATGCTTGCTCATAGCTGGCCCTCTGCCACTTGAGCCATACCTCCACCCTGACTTTTTTAAAATTTGAGATAGTGTCTCACAGACACTATCTGTACAGTCAGTCTGTACAGGCTGACTTTGAACCTTGATTTCTCGAGGTCTCTACTGCCTTAGTACCTAGGGTTACAGCATGAGCCACTGGTGCCATACAACATGTTTTTGAAAGTCTGCTTTTTGTTTTTTTAAAATAGATTTTATGCCTAACTTACACTTAAAAAATGCATCTGGATTGAGTAATTCAGTTTCTTGGTTCATATATTGAGTATAGGACAAATAGATATTGGAAGAAAAATTGTTAATAAGTCACCTACCTACATGAGCTACCAGGAGTTTATTAGATGTATATGTTACTCTGACCTAGGAAATAATTTATAAGTGTTAAGTTTAAGAGACTTGCATATGAAATACCCTAGTGACTTATTTATTTTTGGTCCTGGGGCTTGAAGTCAGGGCCTGGATGCTGTCCCTGAGCGTTTATGCTCAAGGCTAGTGGTCTACCATTTGAGCCACAAATCCACTCCTGTCTTTTGGGTGGTTAGTTGGAGATAAGGGTCTGACAGGCTTTTATGGACTTTGCTGCCTGGGATGGCTTTGAACTGCAGTCCTCAAATCTCAGCCTCCTGAGTAGCTAGGATTACAGATATGAGCCACCAGCACCCACCTGGCTAGAATTTTTTTTGTTGTTGGTTCAATAACTTTATAAAAAAATTTGTACCACTCTGTTCCTTAATTCCATATTATGGCTGTGGTTTACATATTCCATGAATTTGCTGTAGAGCACACCATTATCCTTCACGTGATGTTTTTTTACAAGTATACATAACATGGCATGATTCAGTTCCATATAGTATGTGGAACTGATCTTCAGTTTCAACTATGTCTAGCCCTAATAAATTTCTACCAAGTGCTAGAGTACTTAGATGAAGAATAAAATTTGTAGTCAACACTAGTGCCATCTACTGGATGGTAACTACATGGTTTGTGTAGTTTAGGAATTTGGCTTAATTTAACGTGGAGAAAAGCTTCCAGTTCACAAGATACAATTTTTGATTGTTTAAGCACGGTATGAAAGATCATTAGTAGTTGTATCATTTGTTTAATTTTAGTCATAAAGAAGGAATTCTTGGTGACATCAAATATACCCTCTTTATTTTGTATTATAACCCCTCTGTACATCACCTTTAAAGGTGATGTACAGGTAAATTCCCTCATTTTAAAGCACATTAAAACCTAAACTCCTCCATTTATATCCTATTTGTCAGTATTATCAGTAGAAAGTGCATGATGTTTTGGAGAAAAGGAAGTATAACCTGAATCTGCCCTTATAAATTTTATTTCTTTGCCCAATGGAATATCAAAATTACTGCTGTTCTAGTTATGTGAGCTTTGTAGAGCAACCTGTTTTAAATGGTAGAGTATACTTTGGTAAAAATCTGTTTTGGAACTGAGATGTTGATTTCAGTCTGGGTCTGCTCTGAACTGGCTCAGTGACCATGACCCTTACAAGGATAATTGGGCCACATACTGGCAGGGTTAGAAGGACAGTATGAGAACACTTGCAAACTATGTATGTGCATCAGTACACCTAAGATTCAACAATGTTAAGCACTTTTCCCCCCTTGACCAATGGAAATAAGACAAATACAAGCTATTTCTAGAATTTTTTTTCATTTACGAATAGAGCTAGGATAACTGCAGTTTTAAATAAAAGCTCTTTGAATTATTGTAATTATTTTTTCAAAACCCTAAGATTTTGCAATAGTTTCTGGGCACAGCAAAGCATTCACGCCGATTATTTGCCATGCCATCATGTAGGCTGGATTAGAAAGATGCCCACTAGATCAGTACCTGTGCTGTTTTGCTTTCATCTTCTCCCAGAAG